AGAGGGTGTGGTGAAAAGGGAACACTTCTACACTGTTGGTGGGAGTGCAAAATGGTGCAACCTCTGTGGAAACAGTGTGGCGATTCCTAAAAGCTCTAAATATCGACCTTCCGTATGACCCCACAATCCGCCTACTGGGAATATACCCTGAAAAACTCAAATCACTCTATTAAAAAGATACCTGCACATGTATGTTTATTGCAGCATTGTTCACAATAGCAAGAACCTGGAACCAACCATGCTGTCCATCAAAAGAGGACTGGATTTTAAAAATGTGGTAAATTAAGCCGGGCTCGGTGGCTCAACCGCGTGTTTGAGACCTGCCTGGGCAGAGAGACCTCATCTCTACAATAAATAAAAAAATCAGCCAGGAGTGATAGCACGCACCTGTAGTTCCAGCTACTTGGAAGGCTGAGGCGGAAGGATCGCTGGAGTCCAGCAGGTGGAAGCTGCGGTGGCCCGGAGCGGCCACTGCACTCCAGTCTGGGTGACAGAGTGAGACTCCAACTCAAAAAATGAATTAATTAATAAAAATAATGTAGTACATATACAAGATGGAATACTACACATCCATAAAAAAGAACAAATTCATGAATTTCGCAGCAAGCTGGATGGAACTAGAGCATATAATACTGAGTGATCTCTCACAGAAACAGAGATCTGAGTATCACATATTCTCACTCATATAGTGGACCTTGAACATCTATTGTGATACTATAAGAAAAGGATTGACAGTGATGGGAAAATATGGAGAGTTAGGGAGGGGATAAGAGGTGGGATTAATGGTAGTCAATATATGTCTGGGGATGGGGAGACACTCCTTATCAACAAGGGTACCTGAACAAAGCATATTTGTATACCTAACCCTTAACTGTACCCCACAATATTAAAATAAAAAATATTGATTAAAAAATACATAGCATATTTGCCATTTTATAGAATTGTATAATTTTGCTTTGTATTATCTAATTAGAGATCAAATAGCTAAGGTAGAAAGAGTAAAGCAACTTCTAAGTGTAAATTGAGAATGAATGGATGTCTGGGACTAAAATTCTGGCTTGTGATTCTCAACATTTACTGAATTGTAAGCATTGTGAATAATAATGGACTATGAATAATGATTGAATAATTATTGTGGTTGCTTTATTAGCAATGCTCAAAACTCATCCTTGTGTGACTTCAAGTAAGCCATATAACTTTGCGAACCTTTTTAGACTGAAGAAATTTGACAGTTTTCTCTCTGCCACAGAATTCAGGTCTCACAATCTCCAGAAAAAAGATTTCTTAAAAACCTTTGATACATGATACCCCTCACTGACCAATGTCTTTACACAGTGTAGTTCAAGGATGTTCTGGGTTGCTGAGCGGCTCACTTTCAAGTGTGATTGGTCCAGTCCTCCTTCCTTCACTTCCACATGTATGCTGGGCAGCCATGATCACACCAATGGTACCCTCATCTCCCAAAAATCCGGCGGCTAAATTGAAGAGACCTGGGCTACAGGACTTTCTCTCTCAGTCTCAGGCTCACAATTCCTGGGTAGGAATGGAAGCTGAGAGGGTGATGAGATGGTTCAGGGGATAAGTATCCCCTGCTTGTGTGTCTCTCTCAACTCAGCCTCCCCTTCAACCACCCTGACCCATGACCTTGATCTTACTATGTTCTCTTAGTGAAATACAAACACAGCTTAGGCACACTCAAAAAAATCTAGCAAACAGTATTTCATAAAAACTGCTCATAAGCCCTATTCTGTTCAACATATGGGGAAACTAGCTGGAAATGACAAAAACAGCATTAGGTTTGCAAGGTTTCCCAAAATAGATGGTCACTACATGCTTTCAGGAGATATGCAAAAGTGATATTGATCACTTGGTTACCTGAAACAGTTCTTTGGGACTAGAATAGCATCCATAACTGACAAGAATGGTATATGGTATTTAATAACATTAAAACACTCCAACCCACACATACAATAGGAGCTTAGGGGACAGTAATGTCAAAACAGTTTTAAGTTGAAGGAAAGACTAGCATGCAGCTTCTATTAGGGAAAACACCAACAATAATAATGTAACAATGAGCTACAGAAAGAAAAATAATGAGACAGTATAGAAAACATTTTTTAAAGGAAATATTCATTCCCTTAATTATCATCATACACTGTTTAATGGGAAAAAAACAAATAAGCAAGCAAACAAACAAACAAAATGGCAGAAGACCCAGACAACAACATAATGACCATCTAAGTTAGCTATGATTTCCTTGTGGAAAAGCCTTAAGACCTATTTAAACTTAAATAGATGGTAGGATAATTTTATGGGAACCATTAAGAAAATCAATCCTGATGAACAACAATTGATGATTCTTTAAAAAGAAGGGAAAAATCGTGAGCCGTATACTTAGCTGAACTGGAAAAGAGATCTGTGGTATTGTCACTGGGCACACAAATACTAAGAATGACTGGTAAGAGCGTGGCCACCATCAGTGGTGATTTTCAAAGGAGACTGGTAGAACTTGTGTTGAGAGCATGTCCCAGCCAATCAGATGGCAGGGCCTCCTAAGTTTCCATGGCACCCCCACATTTAAAATATGTTGTGGCAACTGCAGACCATTACCTAGCACACTCGGTGCTACATACTTCACTTCTATCATAGACGTAGCTTCAGGCAGTGCCTTTGGCTGTGAGCTCTGGTATCTGGACCCTCATTTTTAGTGACTTTCAGGGGTGCTGACCAAACATTTCTTAACAGTAAGTGAAGAATTACAGTTTCTGTTATCCCTCAATCCTGATTAAGCCTATTTGATTTCATTTGTTTTTCACTCATCATGTGTTTGGGTTTCTTCTCCTCAGTCCCTGTCTCTCTCTACCTCTTCTGCTACCATGAACAGCATGGCAGTTTCTGTCATATCTTTGGCCAGACAAAGAGCAAAAGCAAACTTTACAGGAAACAAGAAGGAATTGAACGCAGAGCTGGTAAACACAAAACAGCAGTTACGTGACCTAAAAGAAAAGCTACTGATCTCAGAACCCACTGTCTATACCCTGGCCAACCAGCTGCAGCAGTACAGTAAGTTTCAAAGGGTCACATTCACCAAAGTGATGACTGTTGATCCATTATCTCTCTGAGAAAGTAAATGGTTTTAGGCTAGATTGGTCAGTTCCCATTACCAAAGTAAATTTCATCCTCACTATATTCCTAGATAGGTAGAACTGGATAATTTAACTTCTTTTTGCTGAGGATGGAAAACTGAATCCCAAAGTGTTTAGCAACTTTTCAAGTATGCCAGCGGGGTATAGGATGGAAACGGAGTAAAAATCCCAGTCACTTTCTGTTTTTCAAAGTGAGAAGCTTAGGCTATTTTTCTGAAGAGCCTCCTGTAATCTTCATGATTCTGCAAGACAAACGACATTTAGACTGTTGGTCTAAATATCTAGGACTAATGAATTTCCATTTAACTCAAACTTTTAGTCCCAATAGGCAAAGCAGTGCTGGTTACACCAGGGGGGATGTGGTCATCTTACATAGCTCCTGCTTTAAAGGAGCTTGAAAAAGAATCTGCTCCTCTTGGAATCTGTGATATCCATAGGTGACACCATCAAGAGCAGGGACTACGTGGTTGAGAAGGAAGTCCTGCTTCCTGGGCACAGGCTGTTATTCCTAAAGAGAACAAAAGATAATACCCAAGCATTGGTTGAGGGAACACAGTGCAGTGTGTAGAGCAGTTTCCTGGGTTCCTGTCAATTGCTTATCTTCTCTATGCTTCAGTTTCTTCGTGCATCAATATGCTACTATAATAGTACCTACTAATTTGAATTGTTATAATTAATTACAGGATGTATATTTTGTAAATCTCCTAGAACAGTTCTTGGCACAGAGTAAACACTCTTTACTAGTTCTTCATTCTACAATTTCTAATTTAACATAAAGTTTATAAGTATTTGGGCATATTTCCTTATGGACCTATGGTCTTATGCCAAATATTTTACATGATTTTATCAATATAGTATTTTTTTAAATCATTTAGATTTTTTCAAAATTCCAGTAAAAGGGAACCATAAATCCCGTAGACCTAGGGGCCTTCTCAACTCCCCAGGAAATCAGGACTTTCTGTGCAGCACAGTCTTTTCCATAAGAAACTTCAAGACTTGGTAAAGTGGCCCATTACTATGTCAGGCCTTAGGGGATGTGAATTCAGACTCTATCAAATACAGTAAAATTATCTTGTCAACTGCCTCTGAGTGTCTCTTTTCTCATCTCTAAACTGTGTAGTATCTGATGTCATGGAGTCAGCAGGTAGGTAAATAATGAAGTGGAAATCCCTGCCCACACTGGAACTGGGGGTTCTTATGTCCTAGGGAGAGGCCCTCCTTCTCTCCTCTAGACAGTGACCAAAAGAGTGTTTCCAGCTTTCCCTGAGACAGGGTGTTTGTCTTTTCTCAGAGTGTGAGGAGTACAAAGATTTATTGGAGTCCGTGCTGGGGGAAGAGCTGCAGTTCCTGGAGGGGGAGCCAGTGCAGAAGCCCAGGCAAGCTGAAGAGCTCAGGTAAGAGAACATGCTGGGAGATGGGACAGGTAGGAAAGTATGAATCTCTGAAGTTCTGCAACTCAGCCGGGAGAACTCAGAGCTAACTTGGGACAAGAGAAGCACAGGAATCTACTTGGGAAGCACATGACGTCCAAATATTTATTTTTAAAAAAATAGAAAACAAAAGACATCGTAAATTATGGGCTGCAATTGTTACTCACAACCATGGTTTCTCTTTTTTAATAATTTTTCTTTTATTTTATCAAGTGGGATTGTAAAGACAGAGGCGTGAACAGAGCTCACTTCAGCTTCCAAGTCCTAGGCTGAAGCCATCCTCCTTCCTCAGACTTTCATGGAACTGGATGTGCACCACTATGACCAGCTAATTATTAAATTTTTTCACAGAGAGGGGGTCTTGCTATGTTTCCTAAGCTGCTCTTGTAATTCTGGGCTCAAATGAATCTTCCACCTTGACCTGCCAAAGTGCTGATGTTATAGGTGTCATTCACCATACCTAGCCTGTTTTCTCCTTTTGATATGAGTAATTATTGAGATAAAATTCCTGTAACTCAAAATTAACCAAAGCAGCATTTACTATACTGAAAGGGGTGTGCAGGTACCTGTGCATTTACTCTTAATCAGAATCACCTCCTGACTGAGTGTGGTTTCTTATTATTTCACCCAAAAAATCTTGTCTTGTTCACTCCATCTTTCTTTTGGTCTTTCCTCTATCTGATTAACCTCACCCTTACGTGGCCAGACTTCTATGTGTGACACTGTCCAATCACTACAATGCACTCTGAATTTTTTTTTCTTTTTTTAACTTTCAAATTTTTTATTGTAAAGATGTGTGGTAAAATTCAGGGTTAAGCATATAAATGTTCCTTATGCAAGTACCCTTGTTAATGAGGTGTGCCTCCCCCGGCAGCTTTCCTTAACTGCCAATCCCACCCCTCCTCCCCTGGCAGTTTCCCATTATTGCCAGTCTCTTTCTTATAGTATTATGAAAATTGTTCCAGGTCCGCTTATGAGTGGGAACATATGGTACTCTGTTCTTTGTTTCTGAGGTACATCACCGAGTATGATAGATTCTAAATCCATCATAGTTGCTGTGAAGTCCACATGTTTGTCCTTCTTTATGGCTGCATAATATTCCATTATGTGTATGTACCACTTTTTTTATCCAGTCCAGTTTCAACAGGCAGCATGGTTAGTTCCATATGTTTGCTATTGTGAATAGTGCTGCAATAAACATGCATGTGTAGGTGTCTTTTTATAGAATGATTTGAGTTCCTCCAGGTATATTCCCAATAGGGGGATTGCTGGGTCATATGGAAGGTCAATTTCTAGTTCTTTCAGAAATCGCCACACTGTCTTCCAAAGAGGTTGCACTAGTTTGCATTTCCACCAGGAATGTAGAAGCATTCCTTTTTCTCTGCATCCTCACCAGCATCTGTGGTTGTTTTATTAATGATGGCCATTCTTACTGGGGATAGGTAGTATCTCAATGTGGTTTCAATTTGCATTTCTCTGATGATGCGTGAGGCTGAGCACCTTTTCATGTGTCTGTTGGCTGCCCATATATCTTCTTTAGAGAAGGGTCTATTCATGAAAATTTTTACGTGGAAATGCCTATATCCAAAGTGAGGAACTGAAAGGACATCTTTTTGGAACATATTCGGGAAAATACATTATTTTGCTTACAGAACAAAAAGGTGAACATAATCTTGAGACTTCTTATAATACAGAGGGGACCTTTTGTTTTGAAGATATTTTTCATTCTTTTTGCCACAGACATTTTTAAAACCAGGCTGAAAGTCTGCTTAGAGGGCTCCTTCAGCATATTCTCACAAATCTCTTTTGCAGTACTTAGAACTTATCACCCATCTCTCTCTTCTCTTATATTTTATCTCCTATTTCACCCTAGGGACTACAGATTCCTAATTAAAACTCAGGCAAAAGAGCTAACACAGCTAAGGGATAAGTTACCTGATGGGAGAGATGCCTCCTTCTCACTCTTTGAGCATCTCAAGCTCCTCCTCAGTCATGGTGACCCTGATGACTACCAGAGGGAGAACCTCCGAGAGCCACTGGCTGAGGGATTCAGGCTGGCAAAGTGCCTCATCTGCAAACTCAGGCCAGGTAAGGTGACTAGAGGCAATGAGGACACAAAGATTCAGGCTTATGAGAGACTCTAGACCTCCAGACCTCCACAGATAGCAATTTTTTCAGTGGTCTTTTTTTTCCACTAATCACCTGTGGCCATGACATGACCAGGACTTCCTTGGCAGGACAAGATGAGACACACACAGTAAGATGAGGTCACAGTATTGCAAAATCATTATTTCTTTTTGAAGGAACATGGTCTCTGGAGTAAGAAGTGATGTCCAATGAGTTTTATAGGTCAAGAATGAGCTTCTGACAGGAGGCAGCTTTTTGAGTGAATAAAGCGCTAGACTGAAAATGAAAGTTCCCAGGCTCTATCCTCAGCAATGTCTTTAGTAACTGTGGTTGGGTAATTTTTTTAATTCTTCCTGGATTTCTATACCCTCATTTGTAAAATGAGTCAATGATTTTTTTCATGGTAGATGTTGCAAAGTGGGAAAACTTATGACTGTATCATTGGATAAGTTACTTGATACACTCATACTTGGTGGTAGGAAAGTTGTTTAGACTGGAACACACTCAAAAAAGAGAATTTCCCCTGATAACTCAGCAGAAGTCAACCTTGAGGGTCCGTGAAGTTCCCTGATGTGTGGAGGTTTGAGGGAAAGTGTTGCTAATTCTCTCTAAGAGAAAGAAATAATGTCTCAGTAAGAACTGTGAAGGGACATAGAGCCTGTGCCTGGGAATCAAATCAGTCACAGGATGTGGGAATATGGTATAGCCAAAGGCCAGAGAAAACCTAGACAAACCTCCTCTACATGAGGTGCAAAAAATATTTTTAATTTTGCCATATTATGGTGGTGATGCTTCTGAGAATTCATTGCCTGATTGGTGAGGAATCCTTGCCAGGGCATTTTATATATTAAAAAACTTAACATGAAAGCTTTTGGTGTTTTCCTGACTCTTATGTACATGTCTATGACTCTATGAATATATGTCATCAAGCTTGTACATGGGGTAATGAGAAGTATCTAAATGGACATTTTTGTATTTGTTTGCAGAAAATGAAGATGATGAAGAGGTTGAAGATACACCCAGGTAAAAATGAATTTTCAGAAGAGAGGAAAAAGTAGAAAAAAGTCTTAGAAAGGGCAAGAGGTGGATGAAGGTAGTCACATATTCCAGATGCAGGGATAAAACAAAACACAAAAACACACAGAATGTGCTGATTTCATGAACTAATCCAACAGTGAAATAGTCCTGTGAACATGGTTGTCTCTTGTCCTTTTAGTACTTGGAAGCGGGATCCAAGATAAACTCATTAATCCTAGGGATTTCTTGCATAAACAAAGAAGACCTGTTCTCTCTTTCAATAAAAACCGGGAGGAGATGTGAATCTGTTTTCTACACATATGTCTTTAGGTTCCTGTTAAGAAACACAAATGCAGACAGGTAACAAGCACAGGAAAAGTTAGGAAGTAACTAGCAAAGTTATGCATCAAGAAGAGAACCTCGACCCAAGAATATTTACTTGTCATATCACAATATGAAAACAGCATCGAAGGCACACAATCTCTTCAGTCTACAGTGGCTCAATGGCCTGTATTTACCTCTCCATTATGTGTTAAATTCATTTCAACTGAGTAACATGGTGTATCTGGTGTCATTTTTCTCCATATGTTCTGTGTGCCATGTCTGTCCCAGCCGAGATAGTGCAGTCTCCTTCCTTGTTAGCTCCTACCTGCCAAGTTCAATGAATACCAGCACTGTCTTTGTCTCTGGCCCCCATAGCAGCCACACTCTGTTCCACAGAAAGGAGGATTCCTTTTTCCCTCTTAAAGGGACTCTCCCCTATACTCACTTGGACCATTCCTATACTTCATGCCAAAATCACGAGGGACACTTCAAAACCAGCTGGGCCTCCCTAGTGTCCAGTGGTTCTTGGTTTAATCAGCTGTTGCTTCTATCCCAGCTGGCTCAGCACAGTACTACGGGAAACTGAAGAAAAGAAAGACCATCAGGACTCAATGGAGGAATGTTCTTCCACTTGTTCCATTTGTTACGACCTATCCGACTCTGATCACCATCACAGTAACTGCAAATCTCCATCTAAGAAACAGGAAGTTGATTCTTCTGTGGATGTAAACAGTGAACATTCTCATTATCAAGGGGAAGAAGCTCTGAACATTCTTACAGGTAGCCTCTATATTCTTTGCATCCCATACCTCTCTATAGACCTCTCTTTAGACTAAGGAAGATCATACCTCTGTCCAGACTAAGTAAGGACAACCTGTCTAAACACAGACTTAGTTTGAGTCAGTAACTAGGTTGAAATTTTAAAATCATATATCAGGAGTGGTAAGGGAACCATCCTTTCTTTCTCATCCTATGTCATGTTTTTGTCTCCCTGGCTTCAGGGTGTTGGACCACAGAAATGTGTGACACAACTCATACCCACCTAAACATAAAACGTTCCAACAGGCCTCCTAACATAGATTCAATGTCTCTTGTCACTTCCAGTGATATAATTTGTGTCCCTGAACAATGTTAATGGGACTTCTATGCCTGTCCAAGACAATTGGCAGTCTTGCCTATATATTTGGAGATGCTGAACCTGGTTTCACTGCTCCAGGTCCCAGTATATATCACCTTTAAGTTGACTTGTCTTAGCTAAGTTGTCATCTTAAGATCAGGATGTAAACATTTGCCTTGCTATTAAGTTTTCAGGGAAAAAAAAGCGTGCCCTGAGGTCTGTACCCTAGGAATGGCCAATGTTTCCATTTAACAACACTGATTCCTTTTCATGCAAAAGCTTTTAGAATTCCTCCTATCTAGGACTGTTAGTGAGGTACTCAAATCCCCTGCTATCATAGTGTTAGAGTCAATATCTTTTTTTAGTTTACTTAGTAGTTGCTTTATAAATGCTGGTGCTCCTGTGTTGGGTGCATATATGCTTAAGATGGATATTTCTTGTTGATGGATTTCACCTTTTATCATAATGTAGTATCCTTTTATATATTTTTTAATTTTTGATAGCTTAAAGGTTGTTTTGTATGATACCTAAAGGTTGTTTTGTCTGTTATTTGGATTGTGATTCCAGCTTTCTTTTGTGATCCATTTGCCTGAAAACTTATTTTCCATCATTTAACTTTGAGTCTCTGTGCGTCCCTTTTGTTGAGATGAGTTTCCCAGATGCAGCAAATAATTGGGTCATGGTTTATTATCCAGTTTGCCATTCTGTGTCCTTTCAGTGGTGCATTTAGTCCATTTACATTCAGCCTGATTATTGAAATGTGATTGTTTATCCCTGTCATGCGGTTCTTAGAAAGTTTTTCTTTGTTTACTTGTTTTCTTTTGATTTGGGGATTGATGTATGTGTGTGACTTCAAATTTCTTGTTCTAATGTATTCTCTGTTGATTCTGTGCTCTGCCGTTCTCTTTGGAAGTGTGTGGTTATTCTTTTTTCTTCTTCTGTGCTTAATACTTTTTTAAATGTCTTCTATACAACTGATGTGGAAGCTGCATGATCTCTTAGGGATTGGATGTCAAGGAAGGATATTTTTTTTTTGAGTTGGAGTCTCACTTTGTCACCCAGACTGGAGTGCAGTGGCTGCTCCTGGCCACCGCAGCCTCGACATGCTGGGCTCTGGCGATCCTTCCGCCTCAGCCTTACAAGCAGCCGGAACTACAGGTGTGTGCTACCACACCCAGCTAATTTTTCATTTTATTGTAGAGATGAGGTCTCACCAATTTGCCCAGGCAAGTCTCGAACCTGCGGGCTCAGGCAATCCACTCACCTCAGCCTCCCAAAGTGCTGGGATTACAGGCTGAGCCACCGAGCCTGGCTAGAGAAGGATTTTAATTCTCCATCACTGATGAAGCTGAGCTTGGTTGGGCAGAAGTCAACAAGGCAATCCAGAAACTAAATTTGACACTCAACCAAATGGACTTAATAGATACCTGCAGATTATTCCACCCAATAACCACAGAATATACATTCTACTCATCACCACATGGAACATACACAAGATTGATGACATCCTTGAACACAAATCAAACATAAACAACTACCATAAGGTTGAAATATTGCCATGCACCTTCTCAGACCACACTTGAATAAAAATAAATATCAACACCAACAAAATTCCCTGAAAGCCCACAAAGACATAGACACTAAACAGCATGATGCTGAACAATTACTGGGTCAACACTGAAATCAAAGCTGAAATTAAAAGATTCCTGGAAACAAATGAAAATGAAGAAACATCTTACCAAAACCTCTGGGATGCCATGAAAACAGTTCTCAGAGGGGAATTTATATCTCTATAGGCACACATCAAGAAAATGGAAAGATCAGAAGTTGAGAGCCTAACAAATTACCTAAGAGAAGTGGAAAGAGAAGACCATCACAACCCCAACTTTAGCAGAAGAATCCAAATCACCAAATTAAAGCCCAAATGCAGGACATAGAAGAAAAAATATCATAGAAAACACCAGCAAAAAAAAAAAGCTGGTTCTTTGAAAGAATTAGCAAGATTGATGAACCCCTAGCCAGAATGACCAAGAAAGAGAGCAAAAGCCCAAATAAACACAATCAGAAATACAAAAGATCAAATCACAACTGACCCCAAAGAAATACAAAAGATTATCAGAGATTACTATGCATACTTATTTGGAAACAAACTTGATAACCTAAATGAAATAGAGGACTTTCTTAAATCACACAACCTCCCCAGGATGAAACAAGAAGACATCGAGACACTAAATAGACCAATAACATCCCTGGAAATTGACTCTGTCATATGAAAATCACCTACCCAAAAAAAGCCCTGGACCAGATGACTTTCCAGCAGAATTCTACAAAACATACAAGGAGGGGATGATACCAATCCTTTTGGAAGTATTCCAGTCAATTGAGAAAGATGGCATTCTCCCCAAATCATTTTACGAAGCTAACATTACACTGATATCCAAACCAGGTAAAGATGCAACAAAGAAAGAGAACTACAGGCCAATATCCCTTATGAACATAGATGCAAAAATCCTCAACAAGATTCTATCAAAGCAAATTCAAAACATATCTCAAAAATCATCCACCATGATTAAGTAGGCTTCAGGTCTAGGATGCAGGGCTGGTTCAACCTTTGCAAGACCACATAAGTAATTAAATACATCAACAGATGTAAAAACAAGAACCACATGATTATCTCATTACATGCAGAAAAAACTTTTGATAAATCCAGCATCCCTTCTTGATAAAAACCCTAAAACACCTAGGTATCTTTGCTGATGATATGATCCTATACCTTGAAAATCCAAGAGAATCTGTTAAAAGTCAAAAACCTACTTGCACTGATAAAGGACTTTGGCAAAGCTTCGGGATACAAAAATATGTGCAAAAGACAGTTGCATTTCTATATACCAACAACAAGCAGGCAGAGACCCAAATAAAAACCACGATCCCATTCACAACAGCCACAAAAACAATGAAATACCTCAGCATCTTCCTAACCAGAGAAGTGAAAGACCTTTATAATGAGAACTACAAAACCCTGCTCAAAGAAATCCAAGAAGACACAAGCAAATGGAAAAATATTTCTTCCATGGATAGGAAGAATCAACATTGTTAAAATGTCCATCCTACCAAAGGCAATGTACAGATTCAATGCAATACCCACTAAGCTACCAACATCATTCTTCTCAGACCTGGAAATGACAATACTGAAATTCATGTGGGAACATAAATGACCATGAATAGCCAAAATAATCCTTAGCAAATGAAACAAAGCAGTGGTATCACACTTCCAGACTTCAAATTTTACTCTAAGGCTACAGTAATCAAAACAGCCTGGTATTGGTACAAGAACAGGCATATAGACCAATGGAACAGGATAAAGATTTTGGAAGCAAAGTCTCAATTTCTCAGCCAACTCATCTTTGACAAAACCAACAACGATAACCACTGGGGAGAGGAGAATCTATTCAGTAAATGGTGCTGGGAAAACTGGCTGACTGCATAGAGAAGATTGAAACAGGACCCCTGCATATCACCATACACAAAAATTAACTCTAAATAGATCAAAGTCCTAAATGTAAAACCTCAAACTATAAGAATCTTGAAAACGCAGGACATACCCTTTTGGAAATTGGAACTGGCAACCAATTCCTAATCAGACCCTATGTGCCCCTGCCATAAGAAATAAGATAGACAAGTGGTACCTCATCAATCTGACCAGTTTCTGCAAAGCAAAAGAAACCATCAAAAGACCAGGGAAACAGCCCACAGAATGGGAAAAAAATTTGCCAACTGTATATCTGACAAAGGCCTAACATCTAGGATCTACAAGGAACTCAAACGTGCTGAAAGGAAAAAAACTAACAGCCTCATTACAAAGTGGGCAAAAGACACAAAAAGACATTTATCAAAAGAAGATATATGGGCAGCCAACAGACACATGAAAAAGCACTCAGCCTCACTGATCATCAGAGAAATGCAAATTAAAATCACATTGAGATACCACCTAGCCCCAGTAAGAATGGCCATCATTAATAAAACAACAGATGCTGGCGAGGATGAAGAGAAAAGGAACACTTCTACACTGCTGGTGGGAATGCAAACTAGTGCAGCCTCTCTGGAAGATAGTGTGGCAAATTTCTGAAAGAACTAGAAATTGGCCTTTCATATGACCCAGCAATTCCCATGTTGGCAATATACCCAGAGGAACTCAAATCATTCTACAAAAAAGATACTTGCACACAAATGTTTGTCACAGCTCCTGTCACATGGCAAAAACATGGAACCAACCATGCTGCCCATTGAAGCTGTACTGGATTTAAAAATATGGTACATATACACAATGGAATATTACACAGCCATCAAAAAGGACAAACATGTGGACTTCGCAGCAACTTGGATGGATTTAGAGTAGATCATACTCAGTGAACTATAGCAGAAACAAAAACAGAGTACCATATGTTCTCACTCATAAGCAGACCTTGAACAATTATAATACTAAAAGAAAGGGATTGGCAGTAGTGGGAAACTGTCGAGGGGGATGGGAATGGCAGTTGAGAGAAATTGCTGGGGAGGGAGGGGCACACCTCATCAACAAGGGTACCTGTATAATCAACGTTCGTATACCTAACTCTGAATTGTACCCCACATCTAAAATAAAAATATTGTACCCCACATTTAAAATAAAAAAATTAATAAAAAAAAAAGAATTCCTCCATTCATGCAGGCTTATGTGTAAATTCCTCTAAACATCTTTCACAGAAACAAAGAACTGAGTATCGCATGTTCTCCCCCATATGTGGACCTTGAACAACTATGGTAATACTATAAGAAAAGGATTGACAGTAGCGGGAAACTGCAGAGGTGGGGGGGGCCGGGAGTTGGGGTTAGCAGTAATGGGAATCTACCTGGGGAAGGGGGTAAAGCTCATCAACAAGGGTACCTGCACAATGGATATTTGTATACCTAGCCCTGAATTGTACCCCACAATTTTAAAATAAAAAATTTAAAAGTGATAAAAAAAAAAGAATTTCTCCATTCATGCAGTCTTGTATATAAATTCCTCCAAACATTCAACAACCATGTTATCTGATGAGACAGATTAATATTGCACAAATACTCCTAGAAAGTTACATGAGTTCCTGAAGACCATGAGAATTATTGGTCTTACTTTTTGCACTGCATCAAGCCTAAAGAGTGTGAAATTATAATCTTACAAATGAGGGAGTTTTGTCCTCTGCATCTAGAAAATAGGCTTATCTACTTCTCACAAGACTACGGCATCCTAGACTATTCCTCACTGAAAATCATATTCTTTTTTTTTTTTGAGTTGGAGTCTCACTCCATCACCCAGACTGGAGAGCAGTGGCCCCTCCGGCCACCGCAACCTCGACCTGCTAGGCTCCGGTGATCCTTCCACCTCAGCCTTCCAAGTGGCTGGAATTACAGGCGTGCACTACCACGCCCAGCTAATTTTTGATTTATTGTAGAGATGAGTTCTTGCCAAGTTGCCCAGGCAGGTCTTGAAACCAGGGACTCAGGCAATCCACTCACCTCAGCCTCCCAAAGCGCAGGATTACAGGCTGAGCCACCGAGCTCAGGCTGAAAATCATATTCTTATACTGAGAATATTTATGTTCTTTTGTTATATCTAGACAGTGATTTTATCATGTGATTTGCTTAATGTAACCATCTCCTCTGAATTTATTGCAGACAATCCAAATGATCATGAGAAACATGAAGGGCAACAGTCAGTGGCCTCCAGGTAATTCTGAAGACTTGTGGGCTGTTGTTTCAATAGTGGCAACTGAAGACTGCAGATCCAGGGGAAAATAGGAAGTGATGAATAGAACTCGTTCATCCATTCAGCCAACTACAAATTATTATTTTGACAATGCCGTCTTTTTATTGTGGTATATGTATAGGTTTCAAGGTCTTAATCCTTCATCATTATAGGTGCCCACAGTCAGTTGACCCAGGTGATCTGACCAACCTCAGAGACTTCCTATTTTCATTTGTTCTCTTCCATGTGGATATATCAGGGTGTTTGCATATATGCTTTATGCCTGTTAGACGTCAGCATCTTGGCTAGCATTTGATTGCAAGAGAAGATACTGGAAAAAAGAACTTGACGTTATGTCAAAAATTGGAAAAGAAGGAAAAGGGAAAGACAACATAAGATCTGGTAGTCTGGAAGGCCTCCAGATCTCTATCCACATGGGTGGTACATGTAAAATACAACACAATTTACACAAAATAGTAGAAACCCTATTTTAGTTTTCCATGTGTGCTGCAAGTCATGTTTATAGAGCACAGGGACAGTTCTGGATTCTCCTATATTAGCTTGTTTTCTGACAAGTGCACTGAGCACCCACTGCTGTCTTTTGCTCTGTCTCAATGGCAGTCACATTTCATCCCACATGTAGAAGTTTACAATTTCCCTCTTTTTTCACATTTTGTATTATAAAGATGTGGGATACAATTCAGTTTTAGGTATACAAACATTGATTATGCAGGTACCCTTGTTGATGAGGCATGACCCTCTTTAAGGAGCAATTGCTTTCTGTGACCACTTTGCTTTCTGTGACCACTAGCTTATGTCTCCAGTCAAAGCAGCAAGGAAACATGGTGTCTAATACCTCCCATTTTAATCTTCTGTTCTCTCTATACTGCCTGGATCTTCAGGAAGCTGCAGGAATCAGAAGAGAAGAAAGTCCTGCAGGACTCACAGGAGGAATGCTTTTTGACTTCTAGTCACCATGACTTGCCTGAGTCACACCAGCCTTGTGCAAGCACCTCCTTTGAATCTGAGAAATGGGAAATCTGCTCTGCTCAGGATGTAACCAGTGAATACCCTACTTCTAATGGGTATAATACTCCAACTGGCTTCTCAGGTAGCCTCTGATCTTTGCACCCTGTAACCTGTCTCCCTTGAGAAATGTCATACCTTCTTGTAGACCCTATACTCACATACTGGATTGAAGCAAGCTCTAGGATTTAGTGTGGGGAAAAAAGGCATCCCATGAGGAAGAGAGTTTTGTTCAGTCCTAGTCCAAAGCCACACAATTTTCATCTTTGCCTCACTGGCCAATCACTGGAGCTAAGGTTGACCTACAGATCAACACCACATCAGCAGCAATTAAGATTGAATCTGTTATCCCACACGTGGTGGTCCATTTTTCTTTTACAAATGTTGTGAGTTTCTATGCATGTCCAAAGACTTCAAACAGCCTTTCACATATCCTTGAATAAGTCATTACCATAATTCACTGTCCAAAGACAGTGACATCCTTGTCCAGATCTCTGTTGAAGGTTTGGCCAAGGTTCCACTATGCCTAGCCCCAGGCTCTATCACTTGTGAGTTGGTAGGAAGAGTTTGCCCCATGACTCGGCAAAGCCAACCACAACAGGTGTCTCAAGCCATGTGTTAAGGACTCTTAATATTCTGTTCTCACACTGAGAAAATTGATGTGTCTGTGTTAAGAGTGGATTGTCAATGTGATATGTCTGGGGAGGGATATGCTTAATGGAACAAGCCCTTGTCTGACTTCATTTTTAGGAAATCTAAATGATGCCAAAGGTCTGGAAGACCAAGTCCAAGCATTCACCCGGTAAGTCTATGAAGTCATAAATACTCTGGACTGTGTTGACAGACAGAGACTAGAAATCAGGGAAAAATCAGAAAGATGCTTAATATCTCTATTTCATCCATTCAGACAACCACAAGTTATCTCTGTTCTCAATGATTTATCTCTTCATTGTGGTACCTGAATCGATTTCCATTTCTTCGTCTTTCCTTTAAAAACCTATAGTTGCTTGCTGTCTATCCAAGGAGTACAGGCTGCTCTTTCAAAGCAGAGCACAGTTTCTGTAAATATCACTTTCTTTTGCAGATAACCAATGTGATGCATATTTGCTTTCAGCCTGTTTTCTTCTTTTGGGTAATGGAAAAACCAACTAGGGAAAATTATATCACATCGAAAAAGGAATAGCACATCACAAAATGGATAATATGTCAAGGGACCCAAATGCAAACCATTTTGGAGTACACTAAATGCCTCTAAAGTTATATCCATGTAGTCATGATGTAAAACTTTTCACATAGTTTATGCAAAACTATTCAAGCCACTGTTTTAGAAATGCCAAAATTCTGTGTATCATGAGGGTAGCCCTGGAGCATGTCCTTTCTCCTTCTTCCTCAGCTTATAATCTAGACAATTGACCAAACATACATTCCCTTCCCATGATCTGTTCTATTGGAGCCACACTCTGTCCCACCCAAAAGGGGATCTTTTTTTTTCCTTTGAATAAGTTTGAATTTTGACTTTCTAAACCACTCTCTTAATCCTCACACCAAATTCATCTAGAACGTGGTAGTTCCTGATTTCCTTTGGATTCATCTATTGTCCTTCCAACTTCAACAGGCTCAATGGTGAACTGGCAGAGATGCAAGTAAATGAATGTCCCCAGGAGTCACTGAGTGGATGTTACTTAACCCCCTCGATATTTCCAGACCCATTGAGTTGCCACCACTTTTGTAAGAGCAGCCCGAACTCCGTGGACAGGCAGCAAGTCGGCTTGGCTCTTAATGTAGGCCGTGAGTACTCCATCGTGAATGTGTTAAATATCTAAATGCAGATGAACCTTCAGATAGACCTCGTGGTCCTCACACCCTGAACAAGACTTGGCTGAGTATTTTGTCACTGTGGGTTGGACCTATATGGAAATGTTTGTCCGAATCCCTCTAGAGTTGATTCTGAAGCACAGACATGGGGTGAATCAGTGAGCTTTGGTGTCTTTCTAGGCAAGATAATGTCTCTGTTTTTCTAGTCCCATTGTCCTGATAGTGACCCAAAGCTGGTTGTGCCAAATTCACACCAACCTTTGCAGCACATCTGCCAGACCTGCTAATTTGAATTGATTTTGTTTTGCCAGTTATTGTGTTCCTTATATGTTTCTTTTCTCTACAATGTGCCATGCGGTTCTAAGGCTACCCAAGGTCAGTGGTATCTTTCTAAACCTTCCTGTTGCAGGCATTGCCTAGGTTTCACTGAAGCTCACCCCATCCTCTATGTCTTCTCATTGGTTCAGCAGTCCATTTCACTGCATTAGGTTTCTGGAAGCAAGACTAAGTTTTTTGTCCTTTGTTTTTATTTTAAGTCCTAGAACCACATGCACCAAAAGTATCTGTATAGCACCAAAGATTCATTTTGGTTCAAGGGTTTCCAGATTTATTCCATCATTTGAATTTCTATTTCTCAAATCCTCTAAACTGTGGACCATCTGAGTATTTGAAGAAAGAAGATTGGATATTGCAGTTTTCCTCCTAGAAAGCAGTTGGGTAGTAGTTACTTTGGGTTTGTGTGAAAATAGGGCTTGGCTCTTTGCACAGACTCAGGGAAGATGTAATTGGAATGATAATGGTCTACCAGAATAGGGATATTTCACTCCTATGCTCAGGAAAGGAAGCCATGTTATTGCTACCAGGACACAATCTCAGCTCTCCTGAAATATTTCACAGTTCCGGGTTTGACACTTAGGAGACTGATGTTCCTGTGTTGAGGTGGGAAAATAAGTTGTTCATGAGCAGAGGATCATCTGCTTACTGTGTCCATCTGTGTCTGAATTTATTTCCAGAAATTTTGGATGATCACTGGGAGGAAGAAGACCAAGACCCACCATGTCCCAGGTAACTCTGAGGAATTATGGACAAATAATTAGTGTGACACCTGGAGACTTTAGATGCAGAAGGAAAAAAATGTTCTGAAAATAAATCGATTCCATCGGTTCATCCATTTATAAAACACCAATATTACTAATGTTATCCATTTCTTTGAATATCTGTATTTTTATTTCTTTCTCTTATTAATATCTCTCAATTTTAGTCCTTTGTATTCAATGGACTCACTTGACATAATTAATCACAGACATTTTGATATTTTAATCACAGTCAGTCTTCTTTTCTGTCCTTTTTGCTTAAAGTGAATTTGAGACGCATATCTGATACCTGCCTCTTTGGCATCATGTCCTACAAGTATTTGATAGCAGAAAAGTGAATTAAAAATGCTTATTGCATTATAATGTTGAGAAAAACAAATGTTGAGCATACAGTATCCCTCAGAGTCTCTGAAAAACTTCACAGGCTGTGTTTATTTGACCACTGTGTGTTAATTTTAACCCATTTTTCAGAATAATACCGAATGCACTTTTATGTCCCTCGTGTACACTGTGTTTTGTGGCCTTTTCATACAGGGATAATTTCGTCTTTCTTCTCAGCTCATTGTCTCCCCAGTGCGCTGAGCAACTGCTGCTGTCTCCCTTGCTCCAGACAGGAAAGGATTGTCTTACCTCACATAGGGGACTGCCCTGGGCTTCTCTGGGCCCACCTCTTGGCCTCCCCTCACAGCAGGTTAGCCACTGTGGTTTCAGTCCCCTTGGTGTTTATCTTCACCTTCTCTACCCACCAGGCTCAGCAGGGACCTACCAGAGGTGGAAGAGCAGGACGGCCCCAGTGATTCACTGGATGAGCGTTACCTGATTCCTTCAATTCACCATGACCTGTCTGACTCTCACCAGCCAGATAGCAGCACCTTGTATTCGTCTGAGGAACAGCAAGCCTGCTCTTCCCCGGATGTACCCTGTGAGTACTCCATTGTGAAGGCTGTGACGATCCTCTGGTCTAGCAGGCAGCCTCTCCATATTTTTTTCTGCATCTTGTACAGGCTGAGACAGTCATCCCTGAGGGCAGGTCCTGTGGATATATTGTTCGGAATCTGGCTCCTGGTTCCAATTTTAAGCACAGACATTAAATGTGTAAAATTCTCTTCTTTTCTTGTCCTGGGTGGTATCCCATTACTCGAAGCTTTTTCACAAGAGCATGTTATTTGTATTAAGTCAGGCCAGAGAAGGGAAATGTGAGGAGTAACTGGAACCCCTGGGCTACCAGTAGCTGATCTGGAGAAATCTGTGTCACAGATCTCTTAAGATAAGACATCTCTCTTTGATGACGTTACATTGCTAGTTGCATTTCCAGGCAGAGCTTTCCATTCTTCTCTGGCTGTCCACTTGGGCTGGAAGTTTTGGGCAATTATTTAGGAGGTCTATTTTCATGATTTCCGTGTCCCAAGCCAGGCTCTTTATTTCTGAGAGCTGTCTTCCCTCCACCTGAAGCAGTCCAGTGTCCCATCCTTCCAGGCAGAGCCATGGCTTTTATCCTCTGTAGAGCACCAATGATTTTTTTCCCATGTCTGGGTTTGTAGTTTCAAATATTTATCTAGTCTCAGTGTTGCATTTTCATGAAAACCATCAACAAACATGAAGTTTTGTGTACATGACGGCATGCTGGCCTAACATAAGAGCAACTCATATTGGTTCCCATTCCTAAAATCCCCAGTAAAGGGTCTTTTCATGCTGAGATTATCCTCTTTTCTGTTTTCCATCTCTCTGAGTTTCAGAGAGGCAGAGGCCTTTCTTATGATCTCAGAGATTTGTGACACACACAAATTCCACGCTTGTTTTGTATGTGTTGTATGCCCTGCCCCTTGCCAAGTGTGCTCTGTCCATCCTGTGATCCATTTCATACCCAGAAACACTTCCAAGTAGGTGGTGTTATCTCCATGTTACACCTGAGGACACCAAGGCTCAGCAAGGTCACCTAACTTATGCGGACATTTTGGTGATAATATCGGTGAGACTACTGTGCACTGGGAACATTGACCCCTGTGTGCCTGATTCTATGACTCAATCTCTGTCCATTTCTCTGCTGTTGAACCTCACAGGGACTAAGCTTGGTGGATGATCAGCTTTCCTTTTGCCTTTTGTAGAAAATTACTTTTGAAATAATTTCAAGTTTACACAGAAAAATGTTCAGCTTGGTATGAGGAACTTCTGTAGCTCCTCGTATAGATTCCTGAGCTTCTAATAGCTGGGTGTACTTTGTCTGTGAGCAGAGCCAGCTGCTCATCCATGCCCTCCATCTGGAACTACAGCTCCAGGAAGCTCTGTGGAAAATGGAACAGGGGATAAAAGATCCTTGTCATACCCCACCCCTTTCCCCTAGGGTTTTTGCTCTCAGTGGGCTATCCTGGAGCCCTTGTAAAGCTTTAGGTCTTTGTCTCAGAAATGCCACAGCTAGGGCATGATTTCCATGAGGAGGAAGGAAAAGGTTCAGACACAAGTCTCAGAAGAGAGATGCATGCGATCTTGGACAGCCCTACCAGGGCATTTTTAAACAAGGGCCAGGAGGTGCCAAATTCATCTCTGTGGACAGGCTGAGAGGAATGAATAGCTGTGAATATTATACAAGGATGCCTCCTGTGTGGGTGTCCACTATGATAATATGTGAATAGTATGTAAAGAGCACAGCCATCACCCCAGCAGTGGTGCCACAGGCCATCTGCTCCAACTTGCCCTCTGCCTACGGGGATAACCTGATGAAACAGTGTGAATACAGACAAAATTATAACTTGATCTTTTTTTTTTTTTGAGTTGGAGTCTCACTCTGTCTCCCAGACTGGAGTGCAGTGGCACACTCCCGGCCACTGCAGCCTCAACCTACTGGGTTGCAGCGATCCTTCCGCCTCAGCCTTCCAAGTAGCAGGAACTACAGGTGCGCGTTACCATGCCCAGCTAATTTTTTTGATTTATTGTAGAGATGATGTCTTGCCAAGTTGCCCAGGTGAGTCTCGAACCCGCAGGCTCAGGCAATTCACTCACCTCGGCCTCCCAAAGCACAGGATTACAGGCTGAGCCACGGACCCAGCCAAATTTGATCTTTTTATAGCTCCCCATTGCTCTCAGGATAAATGGCAAACAGGTCGAAACTTCTAACACTGCTTACGGATGCTTAGAGATTTGGCTAGCCCCTATTTACCTTGCAGCCTACTCCCTTATCAATGCCCCCCTCACGTACTCTCCAATGTATTAAACTGCTTCAGTTTCTTAAACATGACATGTTCTCCCTTCACTCAGGCCTTTTGTACATAAATCTCTTCTGTGTAGAATATTTCTGTTCCAGACTGTGTGCGGTAGTTCACACCAGTAATCCCACACTTTGGGAGGCCAAGGCAGGAAGATTGTCTGAGCCTAGGAGTTTAAGAGACCAGCCTGGGCAACACAGCAAGACCTCATGTCGACAAAACATAAAAAAAAATTAACTTGGTGTGGTGATGCATGCCTGTAGTCCCAGCTTACTCAGGAGGCTGAGGTGGAAGGATCACTGAGCCCAGGACATCAAGGCCATGATCATGCCACTGCATTCCATCCTGGGTAGCACAGTGAGATCCCAACTCAAGAAAAAAAATGAATATTTCTGTTTTCCTCCCCACAACTCTGAAGTCTTGTATTGGTGTTACATGTCACTTCCTCTTGTGATCTCATAATCCTTTTGCCTCCATTTTTTTTTTTTTTTTTTTGAGTCGGAGTCTCACCATTGCGCAGGCAGGAGTGCTGTGGCACGCTCATGGTCACCACAGCCTCAATCTGCTTGATCCAGGCAAACCTTCCACTTCAGTCTTCCAAGTAGCTGGAACTACAGGCACACACCACCACTCCCAGCTAATTTTTTGATTTCTGCATTATTGCAGAGATAAGGTCTTGTCATGTTGCCCAGGCTGGTCTCGAACTTGTGGTCTCAGACAATCCTCTAACCTCTGCCTCCCAAAGTGCTGGGACTATAGGCATGAGCCACCATGCCCAGCTCCTCTCCATTAATACTCACCACCCTCTACTATATTTACGTATTCACTTGTCTCTGTCCACAGAGGAGCCCTGGAACCACCCCAGTAGCAATAAGCAAACCCAGCACCCAGTTAAATACTATCCTCTAATAAGAGGAACCAGGGCTTCTTGGAAAAATTACTGACTTCAGGACCAAGGAAGAGGACAAGATCATCTAGGAACATCTTTTTGTACCAGAAATAAGGAAGTGCTCAAGGAATGATGGGAACATGTCAAAAGGACACAAAAGTCAGCTTGAAAGAGTTTTTACTGGCCAAATCAAGGACAACATGTCAGAATAAACGATGACAGTAAGTAAACATTACACCCACTGAATCAACTAGAAATCTACCAGTTTATGCCAATACAAATAAATGAATGACTAAATGGGGAGAAGAAAGTTATTCCTATAATGGAGTGTCAACTAATAAATGTAGAAGAGATAATTGAATTAAACAATAATTAAAATACATTAAATTAAATAATTAAAATGCAGCCGGGCTTGGTGGCTCAGCCTGTAATCCCGCGCCTTTGGGAGGTTGAGGTGAGTGGATTGCCTGAGCCCATGGGTTCAAGACCCGCCT